GCCCGATGCGGGACTCGATCCCGGGACTCCAGGATCATGACCTGAGCCGAAGGCAGTCGCTTAACCAACTGAGCCACCCAGGCGCCCTAAAATTGGCAAATCTTAAAAAGATTTTTAAAATTTGTAAAGTTAAAAAGTTATACTGTATAGTGTCATCTGTAAGATTCACAACTCGTTTGTCTTTTAATTTTTTAAATTAGGAAAATATATTGGAGAGGATTCATTTTCATATAGTACCAAGCAGAGATGCAGACATGTGTACCTCCAAGTCTTGTATCACTCACCAGAAGTTTGCTATGACTCTGTATGAACAGGTGAGATGGCTTAACCACTTCATTAGTTATTCTTCATTTGTTATTATTACGTTTGTTTGCATACATTTATACATATATATTACATATTTAAATATATGTAACATATGTATTATATTTATGTTTTATGGTTGATAAATTAAACATATGTTTTTACCTGTAGTGTGTGTGTCGCAGCTGTGGAGCATCATCAGATCCTCTACCTTTTACAGAATTTGTGCGGTACATTTCTACAACAGCCCTATGGTAAGAACCTACTAAAGCATGTTTACCGAAGATGTTAATAACGCATTTGAGCACATTGAGCATTTATTTTATAAAACCATAACATATGTGAGTATCTGTTCTCTGTCTTAGACCTGAAAATATGCAACCATCAGAGGTACTAAGTGATGTCTGTCTCAGCTGGCTGTTCCTGATTTGGCCAGAAACCATACACTTGATGAAATTTCCAAATATTAGTCAAAATTTGTATCTTTTTATATTTATAGCAAGTTTTGGGAATTTTAAAGGAGACCTTAAAATGACAAGTTCAATGGTAAATGGAGCTGCACGTGATTTCTTCATTTTTCCTAAGGTGTTATCTTTGTAGTAACAGTGTTTCCCGTCAGCTCCATGTCCCTTCATGGTGATGGAAGCCAGGGTAAGAAGAGAAGAAAGAAAAAGGTGAAATTAATTCTCCGTTAGATTTATTTCATTTAAGGCCTCAACACATTCACCTGAAATAAAAATTTGCCATGCTTGCCTGTCCCCTCCCTCCCTGCCCATTAAACATTAGCGAGTTAGGGATCCAAAATGATCCCTAGACTTTACATAATAAGAGTAGTTTAAACACTTCCTCACAGGTATTAGAAAATATAAATATTTGATATATGATAAACATTGAATAAAATCATAAATATTTACAGGTATTTTGATACAAAAAACAAAACATGGATCAATAATTATCAATCAATACATTAGTACAAAAGTTAGTTACTAAATGCTACCAATATTTTTATCATTGTGCAAAATGAAATTCAGGTGCTTATCTGTTTCATTATATTATTAAACTTCCTGGCTATTTTGCATATGACACAATATTTCTTGAAGATTATTGAACAATAGCAATTTGATTATTTGGTGTGTTTAGTGTCTTAATATATACAGAGTTGGGGAGCATTGTTTGGGGAAGCATTCCCTAAACTTCAGTCAGTTATAGATTCATTTTTTTTTTTTTACTTTGTGTGAAAAGTAGGATGGTGTTTGAACAAGGATAGGCCACACATTAAAAACCGTAAAACTTTAAGCCTACTCGGAAACTCTTATATAAAATGACAGTGCTTTGATTCAGTATCTTATGTAACAAGAGTTGGAACTCCATTAGTCTGTCCCTGGTCCACACCACCAATTGCAAGAAACCAGACTTTGAACTCTAATTATGGTTGATCCTTCAGATAACACAGGTTTGAACTGCACAGGTCCACTTAGATGCAGATTTTTCTCAATAAATATATGTACAGTACTGTAAATATATTGTCTCTTCTTTAGATTTTTTTTTTTTTAAGATTTGTTTATTTGAGAGAGAGAGAGCGTGCACACGCAAGCAGAGGGAGGGGCAGAGAGAGAGAGGGAGAGAGAGAATCTCAGGCAGACTCCCTGCTGTTTGTGGAGCCCAACCCAGGGCTCGATCTCATAACCCTGAGATCAAGACCTGTGCCGAGATCAAGAGTCTCACACCCAACCAACTGAGCCACCCACATGCCCCCTTTATGATTTTCTTAATAACATTTCCTTTTCTCCAGTTTTTTGGAAGAATATAGTATATGATACATATAACACAAAGTGTGTGTTAATTGACTGACTATTATTGGTAAGGCTTCTGGTTAATAGTAGGCTATGAGTAGTTAACTTTGAGGGGGGTGTCAAAAGTTATATGCTAATTTTGGATTGTGTGAGGGTCGGCGCCCCTTACCCCATGTTGTTTAAATGTCAACTATAATCACCTTCTTTGTATTGGTAATAAGTATTGGATACCAATTACAGAATTCCAGGCTTTACATAAATCATCACTTTTAATGTTAACAAAAACACTATTTTGAATGTACAATTTGAATGAGCTTATCAGATTTAGTGCTTTCTCATATACTTGTGAAGTGCTTTAGAAGAATAGGTGCTTTTAGTTGTTATTGAATACTGTATATTAAACCGTGGAACTGTAAAATATATCCAGCTCTAGAATAGTTAATATTACCACTAAGCAGAACCAGAGCATCTAGAATGGAAAGTAGTAAGGATATTTGAGCTTTTATTACATTTCTTTTTGGAAATGTTTAAATAGTTATTTAAAGATAATACGTTGATATATAAAAATTTGATTCTAAAGTAGACTAAACAAAAAGTGGCACAGATATCCTGCCTAGGCTCTAATGAAATGGTTAGCACTCATAAGGCACAAGCCTGGCCTAAATAGTTTTGGTTTTGACTTCTGCATTAATCAGCAAAGGACCCCTCTGTTAGCTGAAAATGATACCTTTGTTTCTGAGAACTTTAGGCCAGAGAGGAAGTCTTTCCAATAATTTGTTGTTCTTGTTAGGCCAAAGTTGAAACTCAAGTCCCTACTTGTTAAGTAATAATAGAAACATTTGACTTAGAACTACCTCCAGATGGATCATCTTATCACCTCGTTCATGTAGTTCCAAACAATGGTAAAATTTAGTGTTATTCTATTCTTGACCTAATTTTTTTCATCATACACCTGCCAAATTTCATAATTTTTCTCTGTATGGAAATTTACTTTATGGTTAATTTTTCAAACAGAACCTGTTTTAAGACAGAAAAAGCAACCATACTCATATTGATAACTTGGTATTTTTCATGCATAATTTGTTAGATCTTCTTAAAGTTCATAGTACACATTTGAAACTGCTGCTTTCTTTTGTAGCAATGAGGTAGAAAGAATGATGGAAAGGCATGAACGTTTTAAGCCTGATATGTTTGCAGAATTGCTGCAAGCAGCAAATACGACTGATGACTATAGGAAATGTCCTGTAAGTATAATTTGGAGAATATTAGTGTGCTTCTATGTTTGTAAATTTGAAAATAGATACTCAGAAATTACCATGAAAATACTAATTATACATGGACTTGATTTTAAGAATTTATTTTTTTCAGTGTTATTTTAGGCAACTCTTTATACCATGTGAGCTATTTATTTGAGCACTATTTCTTTAAAAACTCTTTGTGAAAGATTTAAGTTAGTGTATGCTGATTAATTTTTTTTTTTTTTTTGAGAGAGAGAGCGAGCGAGCATGCAAGCAGTGATGGAGGGGAGGGGCAGAGGGAGAGGAGAGAGAGAATCTTAAGCAGACTCCCTGCTGAGCATGGAGCCCTAGGTGAGACTTGATCTCACAACCCTGAGATCATGACCTGAGCTAAAATCAAGTGTCGGGTGCTTAAGTGACTGAGTCACCCAGGTGCCCCCTGATTAATTTTTTTAAGTTCTGAAATCTATCGTTTGACTAAAGAGAAAGTTTATTTATTTTCATTTAAACATTACAAATGGTACCATTCTTTTCTAATGTAATATTATTAATGACTTCAGTGTTCTATTTCTCATTTTTTAGATAGACTTCTTGTTTTAACAGATTTAAAAAATACCAAAGAAAAGTACTTCGATTTAAAATAAACTTACTTTTAATCAATAATTAGACAAATAATTTGATAAAAGTGAATTTTAGTATGCTGAACAAATAATTTTCTGGTATATGTAAAGATTGTTACTGTTTAATACAAACTGTATAAGGCATTACCTATGGTATATCTATTTCAGTAATTTCAAAATTTGCCTTTTGTGTTTTTCTTTAGAGTAACTGTGGCCAAAAAATAAAAATTCGCCGTGTTTTAATGAATTGCCCAGAGATTGTTACAATTGGTTTAGTATGGGATTCTGAGCATTCTGACTTGACTGAAGATGTTGTTCGGAATCTAGCAACACATCTTTATCTTCCTGGGGTATCTCAGCTGTTTTCATTCTCTTCCTTTTTGTTTTTAAATGCTTTTAAAACATATTCATGTTTTATAATACACTTGTTTTTCAGAACTAACTTTTCTTAAGAAAATAACATTCAGATATAATGCTGATAAAGTTCATCAAATCAGGCTAACTGGAATGCCTTTCTTGCATAGACTAGGAATAGCTTTCAATTATAAACTGTCTCATGCTCTAATTCTGTATTACTCTAGAATGATGATAGTGATGTGTGTCTTTGTGTGTGTGTGTGTGTGTGTGTGTGTGTGTGTATGGTAATGACAAGTATAAATATTAACCTAGAAAGGTTTAAGATTCAGAAATCATCTACAGCACTGATCTCTTAATATGCTTATTAACATTTTAATATATTTTGAATTGGTTTATATTACAATTAAACTTTTAGATAATTAACTTTTAGATAATATGTTTCATGTATGTTCAAATATGTGATTCAATCAAAAATTATTAGGAATTGTGTAATTTATCCCACATTTCCAGTTTATGTATATAAAGTGTCAAGATACTGGGTTACTGAACTAAATTGTAGTGAGTTCATTTTATTGGAGGAAGAGTAATAGTTATAGTTAATATTAAGTAATAGTTAAGAGTAATTCTATTCAGTACAATCTCAGTGATACCTTCTGTACTAATATAATATTGAATTAGGGAAGCTTGCATAAGAAATTTTTTCATAGATAGTCAAATACATAACTCACGAAATTATTGTTCCTCATTTTTAAAAAGATACAGTATTAAATATACATTGTTATTTTTTAAACAGCTTTTTTATAGAGTTACTGATGAAAATGCCAAAAATAGTGAACTTCACCTAGTTGGTATGATCTGCTACACCAGCCGACATTATTGTGCCTTTGCTTTTCATACCAAGAGTTCCAAATGGGTATTTTTTGATGATGCAAATGTGAAAGAGGTAAGTGACACTTTCACTGGGATAATTATTGTGACTTTTACTTTTTAGGAATAAATGAAATAATATATAAAATGTGTATTACATAATATGTAAAAAATGATTGTATGTAAACATTTCTTATATAAAATAATAACCTTAATGATAATAGTATTGTTAAGTTCATACTTCCTTTTAATTTTTGAAACCTGGTTTATTTTAAAGCCAACTTTTAAGCCAGTCCATTTCCAGAATAATAAAAAAGGTGACTAATAAATGTTGGAATGCAAATATGTAACTGTCATTGATTCATATGTCTGATACATTTTGTCTGATACATAGTTGCTCTGTGTATTTCTTTGTGAATGATTCACAATTGCTTTGTATAATTAGTGATGAAAATCTGCTTGTTTTTTAAATTATTATGACTGCCTTTTCAAACTTTGTGTATGGTATTCAGAATTAGATATGCTTATTATATCTTTTGGTAAATAACTTATTCAAACATTATAATATCTAGAAAACTAGTGAATAATAGTTTGTAGTAAGGAGTATGTATGAGAATCACCCTTGGAACTTTTGAAAAAACCAGTACCTGCCTGCACTCTTAAATTCTCAATTCAGAGGTGTAGAGGCCAATACCTGATTTTTTTTTTTTAAAGTTCTATAGGAGATTCAGATTTTTCCACATTTGAAAACTGTTGATCTTGTCAGTACTATGCCTGGACCTATTGGCTTTGAGAATCCTATTATTAAGCAGTTAATGGATTTAAAGTACAAATTATTTCACTGTTATAAGCAAATGATGTACAATTCCATTTGCTTTCATTTTAATGTAGAAGAAAGGGCCATTTATCAGCATTATGAATTACTAAGTCAGGAGAAGTTCAAATATTCAGTATTTAGTGGATTTCTAATTGTTTCTATGAAGGATGAACTGCTATGGAAATAGCCCCTCCCAATATTAAAAATTAGAAAACCAAATAGATGAAACAACTTTTTTAGACATTGGATAGCAGGCAGTTGAACAGAAAAAAGGAAACAAACAAGATGAGCCCTATTATTATTCCCATTTACTGCCTACAGATAGTTTTTACACTGCAGGGAGGTGGAACTCAAACAAAGCCTAGACATCTCATTGAGTTGAGGAAACTGAGATTGGAGTTCAGGAAGCCAAGATGGCTAAAATTCACTGGACAGATTACCAGAAAGAATACTGCACAGAGGGAAAGTTCTGGAGATTGGTAGATGGGTCCCCTTTAATTTTTGGCTGAATAGTGATCTGACATGTGTGGAGCAAACCTGCACAAGGTGGGGGAAAGAATTAATGGAAAACAGAAGGTCAGACGATTTTCAAAATTCATACAGGGCTAGGAATAGTTTGCATCCACACCAGCAAGAGTGGAAAGATGTTGTAATGCATAGAGCAACAAATAGAATCCTCAGAAAAGTACCACCTTAATAATGGGGCTAAATTATACCTAGCCTGAATACTGCTCTGGACCTGGCATAAAAAGCCTAAAATGAAGTCTTCAAAGGACCAAGATGATCCTACATAACTTAACAAATGCCAGAATGAAGTCCAGTACTTTTTAAAAGAACACAACAAAATTCACCCAAAAATATAAATTTCAATTAAATTTCAATATGGCATTTCAAGATAGTATTCAATAAAAAATTACAAAATATGTGGAGAAGTAGGAAAATGACCCATACCCGTATTAATAGAAACAGACCCATTCCACCACTCCATTTCTTCCAATCACATGATATGGGGGTGAGGAAGCAAGGTAGAGAAATGAAGTACACCTTCTATTCTCTCAGGAACTTCATCAACTTCACCATTCCTACCCTCAAAAAAGGGTTCTGGGTAATAATCAGGTGACGTCCAAGGTCATGTCCAGGCCAGCTCTAATATTAAATCATTAAAAAAAAAAAAAGACCCAAAATGGCAGAGATGGAAGTATCAGACAAGAATGTTACAACTTCTGTTTCAGTGTAGAGAGAGTTATTGGATAACAGTCAATAAACATGGACCATAAAAATAATCGATAAATTGGATTTCATCAGAACTTTTGCTCTTCAATAAGATACTGTTAGGAGAATAAAAAGGCAAGCCATAGACAGGGACAGAATATTTGTCTAGCATATATCTAATAAAGGCTATATCCAGAGTATATAAAGACTCTTACGACTCAATAAAGAAAGACAAATTGATTAAAAATGGGCAAAAAAGATAATAGGGAAAGATAGTGGAGTAGGAGGACCCTATGCTCACCTCGTTTCATGGATCCAATTAAATAACACTCACATCAATGTAAATAATCCAGAAAACTGCCTGAAGACTGGCAGAACAAACTCCACAACTAAAGGTAGAGAAGAGGCCACCTCAAAGAGGGTAGGAAGGGCAGACATGGTGGGGAGCTAAACAGATCACAGGCTGTCTGTAGAAGGGAGGGACTTGCAGGTGAAGAGAAGGGAGAGAAACAGACTATCACACTGGGAAGACAAATCCCTATAACATTTGGCTTTGAAAACTAGAAGGGCCAAATTCTGCGAGTTCTTACAACCAGTAGGACTTAATACTAGCAAACTGAATCCAACAATACATTTAAAAAAAATCATTCACCACAGTCAACTGGGATTTATTCCTGGGTTTGCGAGGGTGATTCAGTATTCACAAATGAATCAACATGTTACACCACATTAATATAAAAGAAAGGATAAGAACCCTATGATCTTTTCAACAGATGCAGAAAAAGCATTTAACAAAGCACAACGTCCATTAATGATAAAAACCCTCAACAAAATAGGTTTAGAGGGAACATAGCTCAATGTAAGAAAAGCCATATATAAAAAACCCACAACTAACATCATAATGGGGAAAAAAAAGAACTTTTATAGTCAGGAACATAACAGGGATGTCCACTCTCATCACTGTTAATTTAACATAGTACTGGAAGTCCAAGCCACAGCAATCAGACAACAAAAAGAAATAAAGGCATCCAAATTGGTAAGGAAGAAGAAAACTTTGACTATTTGCAGACAACATGATGCTCTATGTAGAAAACCTAAAAGACTCCACCACAAAAATTGCCTGAACTGATACACAAATTCAGTAAAGTCACAGGATACAAAATGTACAGAAATCTGTAGTATTTCTATATACCAATAATGAAGCAACAGAAAGAGAAATCAAGAAATCAATCCCATTTACAATTGCACCCAAAACCATAAAATATATAGGAATAAACATAAGCAAAGAGATGAAAGACCTGTACTCTGAAAACTATAAAACACACATGAAAGAAATTGAAGATGATGACAGAAATGGAAGAACATTCCATGCTCATGGAAAGACAATATTGTTAAAATGTCCATACTACCCAAAGCAATCTACACATTTAATGCAACCCCTATCAAAATACCACCAGCATTTTTCACAGAGCTGGAACAAACAATCCTAAAATTTGTATGGAACCACAAAAGACCCCAAATAGCCAAAGCAACTTTGAAAAAGAAAAGCAAAGCTGGACACATCACAATTCTGGACTTCAAGTTATAATACTTGAAGTTATTTTACAAAGCTGTGGTGGTCAAAACAATATGGTACTGGCACAAAAATAGACATAGATCACTGCAACAGGATAGAAACTCGAAATGGAACTCACAACTATATGGTTAATTAATCTTTGACAGAGCAGGAAAGAATATGCAATGGGAAAAAGACAGTCTCTTCAACAAATGGTGTTGGGAGAAGTGGACAGCAACATACAGAAGAATGAAACTGGACCACTTACACCATACAAAAATTAAAAATGGGTTAAAGACCTAAATAAGAGACTTGAAAGCATAAAAATCCTAGAGGAGGGGCGCCTGGGTGGCTCAGTTGGTTAAGCGACTGCCTTCGGCTCAGGTCATGGTCCTGGAGTCCCTGGATCGAGTCCCGCATCAGGCTCCCTGCTCAGCGGGGAGTCTGCTTCTCCCTCTGACCCTCCCCCCTCTCATGTGCTCTCTCTCTCAGTCTCTCTCTCTCAAATAAATAAATAAAATCTTTAAAAAAAAAAAAAATCCTAGAGGAAAACACAGGCAGTAACCTCTTTGACATCAGTCATAGCAACTTCCTTCTACATATGTCTCCTGAGGCAAGGGAAACAAAAGCAAAACTAATGGGACTTCATCTAAATAAAAAGCTGTACAGCAAAGGAAACGGTCAATAAAACTAAAAGGCAGCCTACAGAATGGGAGAAGATATTTGCAAATGACATATCTGATAATGGGTTGGTATCCAAAATGTATGAAGAATTTATAAAACTTACCACCTGAAAAAATGAATAATCCAATTAAAAAATGAGCAGAAGACATGAGCATTTCTCCAAAGAAGTCATACAGATGATCAATAGACACATGAAGAGATGCTCAACATCACTGATCAGCAGGGAAATACAAATCAAAACTACAATGAGATATCACCCCACACATGTCAGAATGGCTAAAATCAACAACTAGGAAACAACAGATGTTGGTGAGGATGTGGAAAAAGGGGAACCCTCTTGCACCATTGGTGGTAATGCAAACTGGTACACCCACTCTGGAAAAGTGTGGAGGTTCCTCAAAAAGTTAAAAATAGAACTACCCTATGATCCAGCATTGCACTACTAGGTATTTAGCCAAAGAATACAAAAATACTAATTCAAAGGGATACGTGCACCGCAATGTTTGTAGCAGCATTATCAACAACAGCCAAATTATAGGAACAGCCCAAATGTCCATCGACTGATAAATGGATAAAGAAGTAGTAGGGTGGATGTATGCATGCATGCAATGGAATATACATGTACAGCCATAAAAAATGAAATCTTGCCGTTTGCAATGACATGGATGGAGCTAGAGAGTATTATCCTAAGTGAAGTAAGTCAGAGACAAATACCATATGATTTCACTCATATGTGGAATTTAAGAAACAAACAAAGAGAAAAAGAGAGAGAGGCAAAGCAAGAAACAGACTCCTAACTGTAGAGAACAAACTGATGGTTATAAGAGGGGAGGGGAGTGGGGGATGGGTGAAATAAGTGATGGGGACAAAGGAGTGTACTTGTGATGAGCACCGGGTGTTCTGTAGAAATGTTGAATCACTAAATTATGTACCTGAAACTAACACTGTATGTTAACTAGCTGGAATTTAAATAAAAACTTAAAAAAAATTAAATTGCATAAACTAACACACACACACACACACGAAATATGCTCATAATAGATATGTGACTTGCCTAGCATTTTCCTTATGATACGAATCCAGAAATGGAGGTAGAGAAAAGGAGAGAATAAGCACTCCCAGGCAAACTGTGACATGTAAAATTTAACTTGAAAACCTCCACATCCCTTTTCTTCTTCCTTTTCCCCAACCATGATGTGTCCCTCTCCCTGAGAGCTCCTGTCCCCTATGACTCCACAACAGTTGATGCTCTGCTCCAGAAAGAGTTTAATAGGTTTATTTCCAGGGTGCTTTTGTTTGGTTGTTTTTTTTTTTTGGTATTTTGGCTCTATCAAAATTTTTTTTTAGCAGCAAGGCCAAATGAAAGGAAAATTGGTGGGTCCAGGAAGTCCTACAGAGAGCTACCAAGGTCACACCATACTGTAGTTGGTCACCTTACTTACCTTTAAAGAAAGTCATGAGAAAAGTAAATCTGACCCAGGTGTCTTAATATTAGCAAAGAAACTCAACAGTAGTGTCACAAGGACTGGTAGGAGGAGGACTTCTCAAGGCTCATGTAGCTGTGAGTGACTCCACCACCCTGAGTGACTCCTGGGTCTTTCGGTGTACATACTGCATAGTGCCCTCGTGGCTCATGGGAATGCATGAAGGGCCGTCTGGAGGGCTGGCCTGACAAGGTGAGAGGAGTACTCCCAGTATCATTCTTGCCTCACAGTCAGTCAGGAGAATCCCCTCAGGGGCCTCCCTTCTCTCCTGTCATATGAAGTGCAGTTTGTTTTGCCTCGTCGGCACATGAACCTTTATAATACACATCAGGACCTGAGTAGCCAGAGCAGCTAGAAGAAGGCAAACAGCTACTGACCATAGGAAGAGAGCAGGCATGGAAAGAAGAAAATAGTGAGAGACACGAGAGCCTTCCAAGTCTGAGTTTGTCAAACAAGGTCTTTTTGGAGTTTGGGATGAAAGAGAATCCAGCCGTAGGTGTGAAAGAAGGAAAGCGCAAAATGAAAAAAAAAAAGAATTGCAAGTTTTTTGTGTGCATGCATTATTAGTTGTAATTGCTTTTTTTTTTTATTTTTTTGCATAACTAAAATAAAGGTTTAGTTTTCTATTAAATAAAAATTCGGGAATTTAAAAAATCTGTGGGCTCAGTGTGCAAGAACCCAAGAGTGGAAAACCATAGGAAGCTGAGTCCCTGCCCTTAAAAAATGATACTCAGTAAACTATTAGGTATAAAGTAAATACAAATTCAGTTCACAATGAGATTCTATTACTCATGTGTTAGAATAGCTAAAATTAAAAAGACTGACCATTCTAAGAGTTGGTGAAGATGTGGAATAGCTAGATCTCTCACAGAAGACTGATGGAAATGCAAAATGAACAGTCATTTTAGAAAACTGTTTATCAAATTCTTACAAATTTAAAAATGTACTTCCATAGATACTAGTAATTCCACTCTTATAAAAACATTATGTCCACACAAAACTTGTACTTGAATGTTTATAGTAGTTTTGTTCATAATAACCAAAACTGGAAACAACTTAAATGTCCATCAACGGTGAATGGATAAACTGTGGTATAACCATTCAATGGAATATAATACTCAGCAGTAAAAAGTAATGAACATTGTGGAACATTGTGGAAAAATCTGAAAAGCAACATTGTGGAAAACGCTGTGGAAAAATCTGAAAAGCAATATGGTAAATGAAGGAAGTGAGACATAAGAAACTATGATTCTGTTTATCTAAAATTCATGAAAAGGAAAAAACAAAGTGACAGTAAATCATTGGTCGCCAGTCACTGCAAAGGGGGTACAAAGGAAGTTTATTGGGGGAGATACATGATTGTATGTATATATTTGGCAGAATTCATTGATTGGTGTACTGTAACTGGGTAGTTTATTTCATGTAAATTATACTCAATAAAGCCAATGAAAAAATTGGGGTATTTATATTCTAAAATAAACACTTTGCTAAAATTATGTGGTACTTTTATATAGCAGTTTATCAACAAATTCCACGTTGAATCAGTGTGTAGTAACATTTTGGCACTCCTTTCTATCCACATAGTTTAAATGGTCAAAATTTGAAGGAAGAATTTTGAGTCACTCTGAGTTTTAGGTTTGTTTTGTTTTCAGATTACTCTAGTTCCTCAAGTATCTCAGATTCCAAGGTAAGAAGGGTAAACAGCTAAATATGTGTAGTTTGAAAAAGCTCCTTAGGACTTTTAAAGATCCCTTACTTCTCTGCCAAAGCCAGTATTCTAGAATGCTTTGTTTTTTATTTGGTTGGGTTTTGTTTTGTTTTGTTTTAAATCAGTTTTATAGAGGTATAATTTACAAACATTAAAATGCACCCATACATAGATACGGACAAATGTGTACATACCTGTGTAACCTACACAATTATTATACAGAACACTTTCATCATCCAGAAAGTTCTGTCATGTTCCTTTACTACTAATACCCCCCCACCCTACCCTGGGCCCCAGGAAATCCCTGATCTCACTATAGATTAGTCTTGCTCTTTCTACAGTTTTGTAAGAATGGTGTCTCATAGTCTCAATTCTCTGTGTTTGGTTTCCTTTATCGAGCATAATGCCTTTTAAGACTCATTCATGTTCTATCAGTGCTTCATTTTTATTGTTGTGTTCCATTACATGGCTATATAACAGTTTATCCATTTACCTTTTGAATTATGGATAGTTTTTGTGTGAACATGGTTTTTTTCCCCATTGCTCTTAGCTAATACTCAGAAATGGGGGCACCTGGATGGCTCAGTCAGTTAAGCGTCAGATTCTTGATTTCGGATCACATCATGATCTCATGTTCGTGAGATCAAGCCCCACATTGGGCTTTGCACAGGATGTGGAACCCGCTTAAGATTCTCTTTCTCTCTGCCCTTCCCCCCCAATTAAAAAATATATATATATATATTAAAAGATACTCAGAAGTGGAACTTCTGGGTTGTATGATAAGTGTAGTTAAACTTTATAGGGAACTGGCAAAATGATCTTCAAAGTGATTATACCAGTTCACATTCCTATTAGTGTATGAGAGTTCCAGTTGCTCCACATTCTCAGCAACGTTTTATGTTAGTCTTTAATTTTAGCCCTTTTAATGAATGTATAATGTTATCTCAGTGTGGTTTTAATTTGCATTTTCCTTATGATTAATAATGTTTTGAGTACCTTTTTGTGTGCTAATTGGCCATTTTATTTTTTTGGTGAAGTGTCTTCAGATGTTTTGCCCATTTTAAATTGGATCATCTTCTTCTTAATGAATTGCAGGAATTCTTTATTCTGCACAGCAGTTCTTTATTAGATGTTTGTGGCTTGTTTTTTTCATTTTCTTAATGGTAACCTTTAAAGAGCAGAAGTTATTAATTTATTTTGATATGAAGCCCATTTTATAACTTTTTTCTTCTGTGGTTTGATATCCTTTTTTTATTTTTCTGAAAGAGAGTGTGTGTGTACATGTGCAAAAGTGGGGGGAGGGACAAAAGGAAAGGGAGAAAGAATCTCAAGCGGGCTCCACACTCTTTGCAGAGCCCTTGACCCCATGATCCCCAGGTCATGACCTGAGCTGAAACCAAGAGTCGGATTCTCAACCAACTGAGCCCTCTAATCGCCCCTGTTTGATGTCCTAAGAAATCTTCACCTTCTCCAAGGTTAAGATTTTCTCTTTTGTTTTTTCCTATAAGCTTTAAGTTTTTGTGTGACTCATTCTGATTTAATTGTTGTGTTTTATGTGTAGTGGTGTCAAAGTTCATTTTTTCATATGGCCATCCAGTTGTTCCAGCACCTTGTTGAATAGAATCTTATATTTCTCCATTAAATTAACCTTTAAATCTTTGTCAAAAGTCAGTCAACCACATACATAGAAAAGCTTTTTAAAATTTGTTAGTCTAAATCTTGATATAGTAAGTGTACGATTTTGCTCAATTTTTTAATGATAACATTTAAAAGATGTTTGTTAGACTAGTTTAAGACAAAAGTAATCATATAATATGAGCAATTGAACTGCTAGTGTCTGAATTTTTTAAATTTTTTTAATATACAAATTTAGTCTCTGCTATTCAAATATATAGCACATTGATTACAAGATTTTGTTTTGTTTTTATTCATTGTGGGTTTTTTTAAAGGTTGGGACTAGATGGAAGGATGTGGTCTCCAAATGTATCCGATGCCATTTCCAGCCACTGCTTTTGTTTTACGCAAACCCAGATGGCACAGCAGTTTCTACTGAAGATGCACTTAGGCAGGTCATCAACTGGTCACATTATAAATCCGTTGCAGAAAATATGGGTAATTTTTAAAAGTTCTTTTTAGTGTTCTTTATAGTATCATAGTCATACTAAGTATTAATATAGTGAAGATAAAATGAATTTTGAGGATAATTTCAAAATTCAGTTTCAGTAAAGCAGAATTCAGGAAAATTCTTACTTGGAGTTAATCTTTATAAGGAAGCCTTTCCCCACCAGTGGCCTCCAAAGCACCCTCAGGAGCCACCCACTTCTGTGGTCACACAAGCACAGAAGGGGATACTTGACTGGAAGCTCTTTCTAGCAGTAAAAATTGAGAGTTAAAGTGAGTTATACCCTGAAAAAGTCCAAAGGAGCCAGGCCGTTTTTGGATGCATTACAAAGCAGATAGAAATCCTTTAAAAATGTCAGTCCTTTGAGTTTATAAGCAGTTATCCACAATACTAAAAATGATTCAGGGGAGGCTGGCTGGCTTGGTCAGTGGAACATGACTCGATCTCAGGGTTGTGAGCTCGAGCTCCACACTGGGTGTAGAAATTGCTTAAAAAAAAAAAAAATTCAAACTTCTTTTCTTCTGGTGGGGAGGAGGATGGGAATAATACGTTTTTGTTTGTCTTTTAAGGATGTGAAAAGCCCTCAATTTATAAATCAGATAATTCAAAAGAAAATGGATTTGGTGATCAGGCAAAACAGAGAGAAAATCAGAAATTTCATACAGATAATACATCATCATTTAATCGGAGCCACATTCAAACAAATGACGGTAGAGGACAAGGTATGTGTTTATTGTTATTTTCACATTGTCCCTGAGTGATTACGTTTCCCCCTTTCCTCTTTACTGAATCTGTAATTTCTGGTAAGTACCATAGAAAAGGAGGGTGCTTAACTAACTTTGCTTGGCCATGAAGAGAAAATAACAACTAGATAGCAAAATTTTGTCTTTTACGCATTTCTCTCAGACTTACAGTTTGATCTGAACAGTTGGACTCGACTACTGTTTGGGTTCCTCCATACACTCAGAGCTGTAGTAGGCTTGAGGCAATCTGGACAGTTACCAAAGAAAGTCATAATATGGCCTTCTGGGAGTTAATTATTAACTTGGAGAGGAAAAACATGAGTTAATAATTTGGCACATATGCTAAATTTAAATTTACCATTAGTGAATGCAACAGTAGTAGTTCAAAGTTATTATAGTTGTACTTTATACTTAACCTCATTTTTATTCAACTCTGTCTTGTTATTGTCATCTCACAACTTTAATTTTCACAAACCAAGTTCTGTGACTTGGGTCCAAAATAAGACATTGCAGCATGGTGTGTATAGTTATGGTTTAGAAATTTATTGAACTCTGAGTAGGTTGATGTTCAGGATGATTTTATAAGCAGTTTTAAAATGCATTAATGAAATAATGTCTAACCATAAAAGTAACCCATTTAATCAAGGGTGGTAGGATCCAGAATTAACAATTGTCATCAACAAAGAATTACAATAAATGCTTTTAAAAGTTCTCAATGGAACTATACCTTTTACCCTCTGTATTGTCATACTCTTAGATTAAGCTGTTTGTCAAAAGAGAACTACTTTTAAGCCCAGAAACTGTGTATGTGATTACAAACACAAACATTAGAACCAGACAACTTGGGTTTGTAATCCTGGTTCTACATTTACAAGCTCTGTGAACTTGGGCAAGTTTTCAACTTCTCTGTGCCTCAGTTTCCTAATCCACAATGGAGGCAGTAATTGTACCCACCTCAAAGAATTAAATGAGTTAAGACTTATAATAGTGTCTGACACATAGTGACCACTCAGTTACCTTTAGCTTTTATTATTTCAATACAAGATCTCTTTTTTCCTTTTACACTAGCTTTAGGAGCAATACAAGAAGTTTTAAAAGCCAACATGCATCTCCAGTGTCAGAATAAATCACATTGAGTTTTTTGGTTAAACATAAAAAAATGAGTTCATTGTATACTTTATATTTTGTTTTAAATATATAGCATCTTAAAATTTTTATATAGTTCAATTTGTACTTTTGTTGAGCAATTTGAAAAATGATCTATATCATTTATAAGAATGATTTCTTTTACAGTTAAGTTAAGTCACAGTGATCAAAGGGAAAAAATAAAAGACATTTCCAGAGAATGTGCTTTAAAAGCCATTGAACAGAGAAACTTACTTTCCTCACAAAGGAAAGATTTGGAGAGGGGACAAAGAAAAGATTTGGGCCGACATAAAGGTAAGTTAGAGCTAATAGTGTTCATTTGAAAAGGAGTTGCTAAAATCTTATTTTTAAACCAAATTTTATAACTTTAATACAACTTAATATAATTCATTTATATTTATTATATATATTTGTTTACATGTTATGTTATATATCTCAATATTATTTCTTTAATACACCTATTAAATCTATAAATATAAAACTTTTCTGGTTCTTATTTAATTCTGGCCTGGAATACCTGTGCTTTTTCTAATGTTTTAACTTTCCTTTTAATTATAAATTCAATTCACCCATATGGTACAGTCAAATAAGAAGGAAGGTTATAAAATTAAGTGAGAAGAGCAGCCCCTCACCTTCCCTCTGTTTCACTGTTAATAGTGTGCAGTTCATTATGAGCATGTCTTACTCTTTATGGCTTTATCCTCTTTTCTTAAGGACATACCACAATTTAAATGATAAACTTGCTAGACTTTAAAACTTGATTTAAGATTTTTGCTGCAGTGATATCCTTTTACATATACCTTTGTGTCCTTTTTTGTGTATAGCCGGAGCATAAAATTATTTCAGGAGAATTGCTGGGTTGAGGTGTGTTTATTCTTAATTTTGATGGATGTGGCTCAGTTGCTCTCCTAAAAGACTGAACCAGTCTGCACTCCCACTGATTGTGATTAGATGTCTGCTTCTTCACATTCTTATCAGCAGTTGGCTTAACAAACTTTAAATCTTTACCAGTATAAGAGATGGAAAGTACTTTTATTATTATGACTTTCATTAATGATGAGTGAGATAGAATACTGGCTTTTTTTTTTTTAAAGCTTTAACTATGATCTACTATAGAGGTCATTTTCTAAAATCAGTATATAACTACTTACCTTATAAATGCCTCTCATTAAGCATAGAGAATGAGGAAAACACTTTTCAATGTCAAATCACAATGTGAGATAATATAAATCTTATAATTATTATTCACTTACTACTGCTTAACATTTCTTTTCAAGCAAGGTGTTTGGCTTGTAACTAAGAAATGTCTCTGAAGAGTATTCATTTGTATCTTTATTTAATTATTTAAAGATTTGGTTGATGAAGACCTTCCACATTTCAAGTCTGGATCACCTCCTGCCCCAAATGGCTTTAGACAATATGGAAACCCACATCTCTATCATAGTCAAGGAAAAGGACCATGTAAACATGACCGAGTTGCCCATCAGAGTCGAGCTTCTGCACAAACACTGAGTTCAAGTAAATCCCAGATTCTTGCCCCAGGAGAGAAAGTAACTGGCAAAGTTAAGAGTGACAGTGGCACTGGATATGATACAGACAGCAGCCAAGATTCTAGGGATAAAGGAAGCAGCTATAGTGGCAGCAGCAAAAGCCGGACCCGAGGTTGGAAACCTATGAGAGAAACGTTGAATGTTGATAGTATTTTTAATGAAAGTGAAAAAAGGCAGCATAGTCCAAGACATAAATCAAGTATCAGTAACAAACCTAAATGTAGCAAAGATCAGAGTTTTAACAACTGGCCAAAAGAAAACCCAAAGCAAAAATGTTTAATGACCATATATGAAGATGATATGAAGCAGGAAATAGGAAGCAGGAGTTCCCTTGAATCTAATGGAAAAGGAGCAGAGAAAAATAAAGGCCTCAAAGAGACTAAAGTTCATGGTGACAACTGGCAGATGCAAAGGACCGAGTCTGGATATGAAAGTAGTGATCATGTCAGTAATGGATCAGCTAATTTGGATTCACCTGTTATCGATGGAAATGGTACAGTAACGGATGTCAGTGGTGTTAAAGAAACAGTATCCTGCAGGTAATGCACAAATGAAATGAATGATTTCCCCCCATCATTCTCTCCTGTTATGTGAAGTAATTTCAAAGTCTGGGGTCAATTTAAGTGGGAAAGAGCTTGACTTCAGAATGAAGAGACCTCTGGGATATTACAGGTTATTTGATAGTTCAGGTTTCTGTTTTTAATAGTTATTTCCTGATTCCAAAAATATTTTTAGGAAATTTTAAAAGTACAGAAATACATTATTATTGTTGCCACTGATAACTGTTAATACATACTACAGGTTTTAAAGCATAGATTTAAATTGGTGGCGTCTCAGTCATTAAGCTAATTATTTAATTCTTCAGTCTATTTAATGTTCATTATCCCATCTCTAGTATCTGTAACTCAGAGCTGGGAATATTTTCTACTTTCACAGCCAGTTCCATGGAAGAGAGATTTTTTCCTTTAGCAAATATAAAAGAATGCAGCCAAATAACTAAGTCTGTGGTCAATTAATTTTTAATTAATTCTGAATATATTTGTATGTTACTGTTAGCAGTACATTTGCCCTTTTCTGTGTAACCTCTAAAGCATGTCCACAGCTTAATTGGCTGATTTCTTACGTCAGTCTAGCCACAATTTCTGCTTTTAATCCACCTAAAACATCTTAATTTGTTATTAGCTGGTGTTTTATCACATTTATTATTAAAAAGCCAGATTTGCAAAAATCAACTGCTTGTATTTTATTAAAATAATCATTGCAATAAAGACTTCAGGAAACTTTTTCATTTGGCAGGATAATTTCATAACACATCTTGGAAAGGGGTAGCCTATGGTAGTAGAAAGATCAGGACTTTGCAACCAGATAGACTTGGATCTTAAGTATTGGGCAAATTAATTTGACTTTGACAGCCTTAATTGCCTTTTGTAAAATGAGGATGATAACTACTTTTAAGTGTTGCTGTGGCAATGTAAATTAAATAATGCACATTAATTCCCTAGAACAACACATGTCATATAATTGCTTAACAAATGTTATTTCCTTTCTTTTTCTTAGATTCTAACTAAAATAATAATTCATGATAGCTGATGTATTTGATGTATGTTTTCTTCTGTTTTCTAGTGACCAGGTAAAGACAAACAACCTAAATATAGAATGTGTCAGCTCTTCCCCCCAACAGAGCAAAAACTACTTAGAAGGTAAAATTTTATTTACATATATTGTAATAGTAGCTATAAAGAATAAACTGTGGTAATAAGAGTAAAGAAGCTAGGAACAGTCCTGTTACTGATAAGATTATGAGTAATGAGGATGGAAGTTAAGAAGAGTTCATGCTTTTAAAGGCTTTGAAAGGATGGGAATAGCTACTTCAGGGAACTGGCAAAGAGGGGAGTGTCAGTCAGGATAGGCTAGGTTCTAGGCTACGCAGTGGTAACAACTTCAAAATCTCAGTGTATCAACACACATTTGATTTTTGCTGATGATATATGACCAGTGGAGGCCCGAATGGAGTCTCTTCCTAGAAATCACTCAGTGCCCCAGGCTAATGAGACTCCATCTCCATAGATGCTTCTCTGAACCTTGCAGTATTGTGGGGAGAGGATATTGAGGGAGGACACAACAGTCACTTAAAACTTCAACCCAGAAGTGATACATGTATTCCCCTCAAATCTCATTGGCTGAGGCAAGTCTTACAGACGAGCCTAATTTCAAAGAGGGTGGAAAAGTAGTCTTACCTGTGCCTGGAAGGTGAACTGAAATGTGTGTGGACAGTCCTAATGTCTGCCACAGGAGTTAGGGACAGGATAGAAAAATGGATAAGCAGCCTGTTGGAAAAGTTCAGTTTGGAAACAGTAAATATATTAATGGGGTGGCATTATTATAGGTGATCCATTACCCACACAAAGCAGCCCAGAAACAAAATTAGATGTTTCAATGTATATAAATTCAGGGCTGCTAATGAGAGGATATACCTGAAGGATTTGGGGGAGAAGGATCAAGGAAAAGGATGAGCAAGGGGATTATTGAGGTTGCAATCAAAAACAGTATTTTCAAATGTTAGAATTCAGAGGATTAGAAGAGATACAATTTTTCACAATAAAAAATAGCCATGAAGAACAAATTTTAAAGTTTGTTTTTAATCTTTATCATTCTTAAGGCTTTTGTGGAGATTATTTCAAGGTTACAGACTTTGAATATGATTAAATGTTAAATCATTTTGTTTTTATCAAGTGGTATAATATCAGAAGGAAACACTTATATTAAGGAAATAACCTTCCTTTCCTATATAAAATGTCTCGCCTCTTTTAAAAATCTGGTAAAAGTCTGGTAAGCAAGTATTACAGGAAACAGTAAAGGGCTGGCCAGAAATCAACAGCAGAAGTCGGTGAAATTGAACAATAACCACAAGTTCAGTGCTTTTTACAAAACGATGCTTGCTTCCTGATAGTAATAAAAACATAACGTCATAGAGATTTTGATGGTCAAGAATGCATTGCTATAAGAGCTTCGCAGCGGTTTTCCCCATTTAATACGAAAGAGTATGTATGTAACCTACTTAAAAATATTTTTTTATTGTGGAAAAAAAGATATTTTTTATTGTGGTAAAGTACACATAACAAAATTTGCCATTCTAACCATTTTTAAGTGACAGTTCAGTGGTATTAAGAACATTCACATAGTTGTACAACCATCACTACCATCCACCTCCAGGTCTCTTTCAACTTCTCAGACTGAAATTCTGTACCCATTAAACAGTTCTCTATTTCCCCCTCTCTCCCAGCCCCCAGTAATTACCATTCTCCTTTCTGTCTCTATGAATTTGACTACTCTGGGTACCTCAGATAAATGGAATCATACAATGCTTGTTTTTTGTGACTGGCTTATTTCACTTAACATAAATGTCTTCAGAGTTCATCCATGTTATGGCATATGTCAGAATTGCATTCCTTTTTAAGGCTGGATAATGTTATGTTGTGTGATATAACACATTATGTTTATCCATTCATCTGTTGATGGACATTTGGGTTGTTCCTATCTTTTGGCTATAATGAGTAATGCTCCTATGAACATTGGTGTACAAATACCTGAGAATTCCTGCTTTCATTTCTTTTGAGTATATACCCAGAAGTGCAATTGTGGGATTCTGTGGTAATTATGTGTTTAATTTTTTGAGGAACCGCCACACTGTTTTCAACAGCTGCTACACTATTTTACATTCCCACCAGCAATGCACAAGCATTCCAACTTCTCCATATTTTCACCAACACTTGGTGTTTTCTGGGGTTTTGTTTTGATAATTATCATCTAATCACTAATAAGTGTGCAGTGGTTTCTTACTGTGGTTTTGTGTAACCCACTTATTTGACCACATAAATTACATTATGTCAAAATTATTTCTTATTTAATTAATGTCAAAGCCTACCATAGTTCTTTAAGCTGTCTTTGCCTTGAGAATCTTTGTTAATGCTCCTGCCTAATGGTGTCTCTATGTATTCCCCTCCCCAACCCTTTGAGAACATGTTAAAGTAGTACAGGAATTTTTTTCCCAAGCCAAACACATACCCTGTGTGGATTTTTGGTTTTGGAAGGCACAATTTAATTTAATTCTTTGTGATTTGCACACTTATATTATTGGCCTGAAGAATCACTCTCTGTAAGTAGCTAACAGATTTAGAAAGTTAAGAAGCTTTAGAAATTTTTTTATTTTCATATTTTGTTTGATATTTAAGTGAGTTTTTAATACAATCCAAACAAATTTGTTTGATGTCAGAGAACTAAAAATCTATAGTTGTTCCATCGTAATTATTTCTTGGTATTTTTTCATTGACAAAGATATGTAGATTTCTCTGCCTATGTCATTATGGGTTCTGCTCCCTAAAGCTATTATTTGGGAACATTGTTGAAATTTCACAGTGCCATTTAGATTATTTTAGCTCCTCTTTTAAAATGGGTCACTGATTAGGAGAATTTCAAATGCCTTAAATTACATTCAAGACAGACTTTATATGTTCAAAAGTACATGGTTGGGAGAAAGTATCACATATTGTAAGAATACAGGTAGTTTGGTCTATGCAAGGCTGAGTGCGTTTGTGGAAATTATGAGATAATAGGTAGAGGGTGGACAGAAGCCAAATCATGATGAAACTTTTATGCTATTTTTAAATCCTACAGTAAGTGGAAAGCCACCAGAGGACAAGGAGAGGAATATATTCCAGTTGGCATTTTAGAAAGACTGGTGGCAATGTAGAGGGTGAATTTGGAGCAGTGAGAGAAACATTAGTTAGATGACCGTTTGAACAGCCTGGAGAGAAAAGGTGGGGGCATAAACTAAGGCAGTACCAGTATCACAAAAGAAGATTTGGGAGTTTATAAGAATGTGTAGACAATGGAGTCAGTTTTTATAACAGATGTACAAAAGGGAGGAAAAGGAGGAAGCTGGGGATAGCTGTTATCTGAGACTTGTGTAAGTAGATACACCATTTACCAAATCAAAGAATATAAGAAGAAGAAACAACTTTTGGGGGATGAGAGGAGACGCCAAATTTATTTTTGGATTTGTTTATCATCTAGGTAAATAAATTTTTCAGGCAGTTAAGGACATATGTCTACAACTCAGGAGAGATGATATATTTGGTAACCAGACGCATATATGGGAATTGAATGCCATAGACGTGGACTGCATCCTCAGGAAAACTGGAGACAAAGGAAAAAACTTGGGATTTGCTGAGTAAGAGAGATGAGCTAAGGATAGAGAGAAAGAGCAACTTTGGGAAAGTATGAGGAGTAGCTAAAAGGTATGAGAAAAAAGGAGAGAAGAGTATCAGAGGGAAACCAGGAAAATGGGGAGCTTCAAGAAGACAAGTTGCCACAGATTGAGCAGAATAAGGATAAAAAATGTGGATTTTTTTTTTAAGGATTAAAAATTTGATTTAGCAGTTAGTAAGTCATTAGTGAAAGAGGAAAAGCAGTGTTAGAGGAACATTAGGAATGAAGCAAGCTTGAGGTAGGACTGAAGTATTTAGAAGTAAAGGGCCATGATGTTTGTAACTTAAAGTGGTTCAGAAAAAAATGTTAATGGGTGAATCTGGGTAAAGGGTTTACAGGTATTCTTTGTACTAGTTTTAATCTTTCAGTTTTTCTGGGCTTTTTAAAATTAGTTTCAAATAAAATGTCTTAGAAAATCATAGTACAATAAAAAGTTAATAAAAGAGAAGTAAAGAAATGTCTGTTCAAAGAAGCAGTACTTAGAGGAGAAAGAAGCAACCAAGAGCTTAGTTTTGCATTTATGTTACAGAGGGTAAGGAACTAATGATGTGAACAGGGCAAGAGAAGGGTGCTAAGAACTAGATCAGAATAGTAATTGATGGAGTAAGATCTCTGAAGGTAGAAGGAAAATGAAACAAAGAAGGTAAAGAGGCCAGTTAAAGTTTTGTGATTTTTCCAAAGCATTCAAATTTTATTAAAAACAATTTTATATTGTAAATCAGATCATTGATTAGATTACTGCTCTTGAATGTTTAAGCTTTGTAATTGTAATTTTACTGTTATATTTTGAAGTCTCCCTATGCAACAAGAGTGAAGATTACATTGTCTAGACCAGCAGTTTGGTTTTATTGCTACCTAAGCCTATTTTAAACATAGGTCATCTTTTCAGATGAAATATATGTTTTGATTTCTTGACTGTTGGGCTTTTTAAAAAAAATAAAGTATCAAAATTAGCATTATTAATTAAAGCTTCTTGCCTGATGTTAAGGTGTCTTCTGTGCCAAGTGTAAAAATCAGACTATTTTAGATTTGCAAAGAACCTGGAGCCAAAAGTCCCAGTAAAGATACATAGATGTCTATGTCAGCAGAAGAGAAAAATAACACATCTATTTTTAAGTTAGTTGGAATTCTGAAGTCAAACCACTTGGTTGAATGCCTGCCATAGTGATATTAAAATTTCAAACATGTTTATAAGACCTCTGCTGCCTCCTGCTGTCTGTTAGGTGGATACGTTAATAATAATGAAGAGTTTTTTAAGAATTAAGTGTTTCTTTGATGTTTGTGAATAATAAACCTGAAATTATGGATAAGTTAAGTAAACATTCTGAAGTTAAAATCAAGATGAGTGGAGAATTATAATGTAACTTCAACTTAACAAATTTTTCAGGCTGAAAATTATTGAAGTTCTTTTTGACATTACTTTTTTTTAATCCCCCCCCCCATCATAAAGTAGCTGTTGAAGAGAGAGGCTGTTTTTGAGCCTCAGCAGTGAGTCAGGCTTACAAGCAACTAACACTCTCTGGGATAAATTATACTGCCTTTTATTTTTAAGATTTGTATAAGTGTGGCACTTGATAGACCAAGATAGGTCAGGGGGAAAGGTAAGAATTTGTCTCAGTTTATACTTATCTAGTCCTGGTTCTGTGAGTCGGGAACATGGTGGACAGGGTAGGGATGATTTAAAAGAAGAAAAACAGTTACGTTTTCCATGTGATTGTTTATTCATTCTCTAGACTTTCATTTAATGTCTTTTATGTGCTAGATATTGTGCAAGGGGAAACAATAACAAAAAGGGGATATACTGTCCAATAGAAAGAGCTTACTGCAATCTAGTGGATGTAGGAGTGTGAAATCTTAAGCAAATAAATGCCAGACTTGTAGTTCCCCTCATTCTACTATCTTAGGCTTTTATTGGAAGGTAACATTCACTGTGTGAGCAATATTGCATATAGGGTATTAAATTCTCATATGTATTATACAACTGTTTCTTGGAAATTCAAGATTTAACTTGCAGAGGTGATGATAATCGAATATAGATTTTTCACAGGATAATATTTAGATGTTTAGATCAACTATAGATTCCAGTTGAATTTTGACTGACAGAGTAGTTTTTAAAAATGTACCCAGAAGATCAACTTAGGGATAAAAGCCATCAAAGATAAAGTTCTTTGTTATTGTTTAAAAAATAAAGTTCCTGCTTTAATAACTTTGATTTTGTTTTCTTTGCAATCTTCAATTCATAGACTTGGAGTACAGTCAGAAGCATGAGAATGAAAGGAAATGTAAATGAACATGATGAAAATGCCATCTAACAATAAGGGAGGATACTGAAAACTTACTAGAATTTTACAGAAGTATAGGGAATTAACTGAATATTCAAGCTAAAGCCATATATTTTGATATCTTCTGGGGGCCTAGTTTCGTCAGGAGGAGATTCTGTATGACGATCTAGGATTTTAGTGGCGTATGAGAAAGAGAGCTTGCAGGTAGTGGAAAGAGCACTGGCTTTGGAGTTAGCCCTGGACTGGTTTAAATGCTGTCACTTACCCAGTTATATAGCATCACTTGGCTCACCCAACCTCCTTGGGTAGAAAAAGGGAAATTGTTTCACAGAACAGTTGTGACTGAGATTTTTTAAAGACTATTTTCAATCAACTGAAGCAGTGCTTTGACCTCAGGATATCTTTATACTATTAAAAAATACAAAGGACCTCAAAGAGCTTTTGTTTTGATGGGCTATAGATGTTAATAATTACTGTATTAGTCTTTAAAATGGGAAATTTATTCATTTAAAGAATGATTTACTTTACTTAGGCATGATTTTGTAACATCAGTATATCCTTATTTGGAAAATATTGGTTTGCTAAATTATGCAAGTCTTCCAAATGTTGATACATTTCTTTATATTGTTTTTTTAAAAAAACACCTTTGTTAATATTACCACAAATATTAGCAGAAAGCCTTTATAATTCTTGGGAAGCTAAAAACTCATGGTGGTGGATACAAGTTTTCCAAAATTCTTATTTTCATCTCAAAATTTGAATTTTATCAGTGGCAATAAATAACTCTGGTTGTTTTCCTTGAAATGACAGGTTCACTTCTTTAATTTTCAAGAAAATTTCTGCCAGATACCCAAGTCTGAATAACCAGAATCTATTATCTTTCAAGTAAAAAACAATGTTCAACTTTAAAGATTAAATGAAATAATTATTATGAACCTCTTACAACTTGAGTCAGCAATCAGAAAATGGTAGCTACAGGGCGCCTGGGTGGTCAGTTGTTAAGCAACTGCCTTCGGCTCGGGTCATGGTCCCAGGGTCCTGGGATCGAGTCCCATATCGGACTCTCTGCTCCGCGGGAAGCCTGCTTCTCCCTCTCCCACTCCCCCTGCTTGTGTTCCCTCTCTCGCTGTGTCTCTCTCTGTCAAATAAATAAATAAAATCTTTAAAAAAAAAAAAAATGGTAGCTACAGAGTGATCATATTAACATTTTACATGTTAATCATAATACCTTTCCACATGTTTTAATTCAGTTGACGTTCCTAATGTTCCTGTGAGGAAGGTAAAATAGGTGTCATTATCTCATATAAATGAGGAAACTGAGATTATAAGGGATTGAGAGGTTTGCTTAAAGCTACTAGCAAATAAGTAGTGAATCCAGACTTCAATTCAAGCCATCTGTCTTCAAGTGCAGGATTTCCCCGCCATTTTGTCAGCAAAGACTGTGTGTTATATGACAGGGAAAACACATAGCTCCCCACAGTTGAACAGCAATAGTGTTATTTGGGCATTGCTAACGTTTTCAAGTGATGATAGAAACAACCATTTATTTTGTATAAAGTATTCAGAAAAGACATATTATTTGAGCTGAATCTTGAAGAATTAATTTTGTTTGTTGTAAGAGAATTACCTATTTGTAGGAAACGTAAATTATGGAGAAGTATACACGCAGTAAATTATAAAAGATCATTTAAAAAATTTTGTTTTTCTCTCTCCTAGCCTCAGGCTTTAGAAAAGAACTCAAGAATTTGGAAGTAGGCTATAAATCTCATGAGTTCCACCCAGAGTCACATCTACAAATAAAAAATTCTTTGATGAAAAGGTAATCAAAGATATTTAGAAATACTAAAATCTTTCATATTAAATGCATGTATTATAGGAACTCTTTATCAGGCTAAAAATCCATGATGTTATGATGCCTGTATTATTGGGGATCATTAAAAGGATATAGGCCTATGGATAGAGGGCCTACAGAGTACCAGGTACAATACATGATGGTTATAATCCTCAGCATTCTGATGAGGTGGGTGGTATTTAGTAAGAGAAAATTAGGGGCTTTTATTAAGTAATTTGCTCAAAGCAGTGGAGCTGAAATTTGAATGCAGCTCTTATCTACCTAGCAAAGCCTCTACTCTTTTCATCATTTCGCTCTAATTGAATTCCATGCAATTCATGTGAGAAAAGTAATTTTCATGACAAAAATAATTTGCAATGTGGTATCATTTATCTTCATCTCAGAAGTTAATTATTACCTAAAAAAGGTAATCTTGATTAAATTATTTTTAATTCGTATACCATCCTTATAGCATTGTATGTCAAAGTTGTCTCTATTGGTATAAGCTTTGTAATGTTGGTCAAGAAGTGTTTTAGGGTATTGAAGTGTTTGCTTATAACATATTTTTTAAGTCTATGCTACATTTTATTACAAATAAATGTAATTTCAGTGTTTGTAAGTTGAAATGAATTTTTTTTAATTATGCTTCTGATTATAAGAGATCCAATTTTGGTAATGACAGGTGTTTCTGGCATTCATGTATTTTGGCATACATTTTGGAGTCAGAGAGTATAAAATGGTAATGGTTACAAATATCTTCCCATTTCTGTTATGTTATAAAAATAACATCAGGTATATATTGAGAAGTTAAACTACAGGACAAATGTTCGTTTTTCCTCCAATTTTGTCTTTTAGCTTTGTCCTTGTTTCTTTTCTCTGTTGCAGGTCACAGATACGTGAAACAAATGGAAAGTTATTCCCTTCATCAGGTCCACAGATACTCGAGGACAATGCAGCAAGAGAGCATATCCACCAGTCAGGTGAACAGAAACTTGAAACCCCAAGTGAATGCAAATTTTCTGAGTGGCTTAATACAGAAAATTCTGAGAGAACAGGTTTACTTTTTCACGATGATAATTCTGCTCCTGGAAAGAGAATGAACAGTAATGAAGTAGTCTCATCATCTTCACTGTGGTCTTCACACATGAGACCTGTTGGGGTAAAGCCAGAAACTTCTCCCCTCATCCAGCAGCAAACTATGATGGAACAATGTTGCTCTGAGAACTCTCTGTCCAGGGAACATATAATTGAGTCAACCTGCAGGTCTGATGGTTGTCAGATGCCAAAACTTGTTAGCCATAATCCACCACCTCCTTTGCCACCAAAGAAATATGCTATAACCAGTGTGCCACAGTCAGAGAAAAATGATCCCGCACCTAATGTAAAACTTACAGAGATGTTTAAAGCTAATTCTTCTAGTCTTCCAAAGCACAGTTTATATTTGGATTCAGAACCAAGTTCAGAAGTAGGTACGTATATGAATGATCAAAGACTTAAGGAAACATTTCAAATAAAAGAGCATGTTGGCAACACACCAAACTACCTGTCAAGCTTTTCAACTAAAGATTTTCAGGCAGACTTGGGTACAATTGTTGATGCATTTTGCCAACCAGAAATAGACTCTAGTTCTACCTGTCCAAATGAGACCATTTCATTAACTACCTATTTTTCAGTTGATAGCTGCATGACTGATACATACAGACTGAAATACCATCAGAGACCCAAGCTCTGTGTTCCAGAAAGCGGTGGTTTTTGTAATGATCATGCAATATCTCAGAGTGAAAGAGGGCTAGCACCTGTGTTACACAACAGTCTTGGTTCAAACTGCCCTTCTGAGCAGAGATATAAACCTAGTATACACTGTAATAGGTAAGTGATGAAACTGGTAAGCTTATACTTCTCAGAGGCCATGAAAATATAATAGGAATTGACTGACCAAACCTGGTGATACATGAAACTAAAACCGTGGCATTTTTAAAGTCATTAATCACTTTAATTTTCTATATATATTTTTTATTTTGTGATCAATTTATTGGATATTTTAGAAATTCCCTTTGAATAGTCTTGGCGTGCCTGCAAAACAAAATCAGGGGGTATGCAAAAAGTCACTGCTGCAGTTGAATAAAAATGTAATTTGCTCCTTTATATGTGGCTAGTAGACCCGTAAGTATTAAACTAACCAGTACTCACATTTGTAGATTGGTAAACTATGCTAATTGAAAAATACCAGGTGATACATAGTTTGTGTAGTCAAAGCAGTATTTGCTTTATGAAGAAGCACTTTCTTTCTAATGGGTAACCAACCAAAAGAGGGCTTCACCCATTTGTTTTTGACTTCTGTGATAGTCTACTACATATGATCCCTTCAAGTGTCTTAAAAAATACCAACCCATGAAATTGATAGCATTTGCGGGGGGAGCCTTAATGATAAAGCAGTTTTTAAATTAAATTCTTAAGGTCAGAACAGAAGAAACTTAATTTTGCTCCTAGAATTTTAATCTTCATAATGCCTCGATAACATAAATTAGGACTTTATCATAAACTTACTTCAGCCATGTAAGCTAAAAATAAGTGAAATTCTTAACGTTAGTATATGTGTTACTTTTTTTTCTAATTTTATATGAAATGTGAAAGGTTTTATTTTGGTTTGGTTTATTTTGGGCTGCTAATAACCAGTGTTAGGAATTTAACTTAGGGCCCACTGGGGATGTCACTGTGACTGCCTAAATTTTCCCTGCTATCATCTTAACCTCTCTTTATAGGTCAACCCATTTTAATGATTTTCAGATTCTTGAATTCGAGTATTTCTGGGTTCCAGATTCAATTTCTACCTTCATTTAGAGGGTTTAATTTTAATGAAATGTATTAATTTGAGCATCCCTCCCATTTTTCTAAACAGTCATTTTACCCTACTTTCACGGAGAGGGCTTTTTTTTTTTTAAATAAAGGAATTTTCCATTATCAGTATGACCTATAAATGAAGTTACATTAATTGCTTTATTTCATTAGTTGTCATTTTATTTTGTACTAAGTTGGTAAATGTATTGTGGCTAAGTATTGTATTGTCCATGTAAGAAAATTGAAAATTACAGAATTAAAAATTTTCTTACATTAATAAACTTCATACATATAACTTAATTCTGTAATCTGATTAGTAAATTTTAATGTTTTGACCAGCTCCATAACTTAAAATATTCTAAAATATAAATGATCAAAATGAGCATTCCTAGATAAATATAAAATAATTGCTTGTAAAAACCTAATCTCACCCAGTTAAGAAATCTTGGTCAATTATTGTCTTCCACCTAGAGAAGTTTTTACTAGCCTTTTCTAACTGTAACAGTAGGGTGATTATTACTTTATATTCTCTTAATTTAGAAATACTTGAATATGAACTATATTAAACTTTTATCTTTTAAGAAAGCTTATTTTTAAATAACTTTTAGTATGGAGGGTTTGTAAATACTGTAAAGTTTCTAAAATTGTATTTGACATAACATTGTATTTAATTATTGCTTTTATAACATTGTAAAATACTAGAAAATGGGTTTCAAGTATTTTTAATAACTTTGAAAAACTTTGTCTAGTTTTTTTTTAAGATTTCTATTTGGTCAAGATGTCTAGTTAAAAATGTATTATTTGAAACATAAACTAATTTCTGTTATTTAACAGCAGTCTCATAGATTTGTATTTTCAACTCACAGTTCAGTTGCAACATCAAATAGAAATATCTAACTTTGGCTCTTTTTAAAGTACTGTCCAGTTGAAACCACCTGAATCATGTAATAGTACTAACTAGGAACTGTTGGTGTTGATTCAACACTCCAAATACAGATTTGAATACATAATTACTAACTATTCACATGTAAAATTTTTATTTCTAGAGTACCTAATTTTTATATGTGTTTTCTTCTCATTATAAAATTATGGTAACTTCTGAAATAATGCAACCAATAATTATTGTAATGTTCAAAATACTTATCTTCAGACTGTTGATTTTTCTGTGAAATCAGTTTCTAACGGTTCAAATTTTTTTTTTTAAGATAAACTGATTTTTGGGGCGCCTCAGTGGTTAAGCGTCTGCCTTCGGCTCGGGTCATGATCCCAGGGTCCTGGAATCGAGCCCCACATTGGGCTCCCTGCTTAGCAGGAAGCCTGCTTCTCCCTCTCCCACTCCCCGTTTGTGTTCCCTCTCTCGTTGTCTCTGTCAAATAAAAAGATAAACTGATTTTTATGTTAACATGGTTGGACTTTTCTGTGCATTCATGAATTGTGGCTTCCTCTCCTCACATGTTGATTATGTATTTTATGAGAAATTAAGTTACCTTAAAGTTCAAGGGTACTTGGAGTATCACTAATCATAAAATGTTATCACTAGAGGCTCCTAAAAGTTTAACTGCAGTGAGGTCTAACGCAGGGCTCCAAAGGAGTTGGCAAACTTTCTAGAGAGAGCCAGATAGTAAATAATTTGATCTTGGTGGACCATAGGGTCTTTGTAACAAACAACTACTCAATTCTGCCACTGTAGTGAAAGAAGCCGTAAATGGTATGTAAATGAATGGCATGTTTGTGTTTCAATAAAACTTTATTGACATTGAAACTTGATTTTATGTAATTTTCATCTGTTATGAAATAGTCACTTGATTTTTTTCAACCATTTTAAAATGTAAAAATCATCCTTAGCTCACAGGCCTGATCAAAAGAGGTGGTAGGTCAGATTTGGCCCATTGGCCATAGTTTGATGATCCTTATCCTTGAACGTAATTTACATTAAGTAACCTTAACGACCTGAAATAAATTATCCTGTAGTCTCTGAATGTATCCCCATGCCATTTAGGGACTAGATACACAGGTTTCTGTCCTAAATTTTCAGGTTCATAGACTCCTAAATCCTAAAGACTTTGTCACAGTTACTGGTCAGCCAGTTCATTTCACAAATGGTTATTAAAATAATCATTTCATTTATATGAAATTAAGTCTTTGAAATTTACAAAGGAATTTATCAGATTAAAATCACATTGATGTTATTCTTTGTTTTCATCATAGCAAGTTTGCCAACTTTTCTTGGTGTCCCATTCATCCTTCAGCCTTACCCAGTTAGCCTTTACCCATTTAGCCTTCAAGTGTGGATGCTGTAAGCACTCATTATACTTGAGATGGCACAGTAGGTATAATTTCTTATTGATCAGCTGTAGAAAAGATTCACCCTCATACTGGAACCATTTCTGTATACCATTTACAGTCATGTCATAACACCAAGACCTTGCTACCTTCCCTCTACTAGAAATTTTCAGAATATTCAATAGTTGTGGTAGTGGGCTGATTTTAGCCTCAGAAACATAAAATTATAAATCTTTGTGTGTAACACAACATTAAACTACATGAGAACTGTTAATCCTTTCAAAACCCTGCTACCTACCAAGTAATTTGTTTAAACAAATGCAAAATCCGAATCAGACCAAATTTAGCTATACAATAAACATTGATTGGACAAAATTATTAGCAAGCAGCAGAAAAACAGTTCATACTGTTTGATATACTCAACGAAATTCCAGTTTTGTGTTTCTTTAGATGCATCAACCTTTGCATAAAAGGTTCTCTCCAAGTAGATGCAACAGTACCCTGGATGTGTAACTGTTACCTTGTAGCGGGCAATAGGCAACTAAAATCTTCCAAAATCAGTCCTGGATTTCATTCTAACACCATTAAGAGAGAGGGTGCAGAGTTTACCAGATCTACACTCTGTTTCTAAGGGAGGTGAATATCCTCAAAATATTTAGGCAATTCACATGTATCAAATGTCACCAATTTCTTTTCTTTTTTTTTTTTTTAAAGATTTTATTTATTTATTTGACAGAGACACAGCGAGAGAGGGAACACAAGCAGGGGGAATGGGAGAGGGAGAAGCAGCCTCCCCGCAGAGCAGGGAGCCCGATGTGGGACTCGATCCCAGGAACCTGGGATCATGACCTGAGCCGAAGGCAGTCGCTCAACCGACTGAGCCACCCAGGCGCCCCAAATGTCACCAATTTCAACAAGAGCCCCTATCTACTTTTTTTTTTTTTTTTTTAAGATTTTATTTATTTGACAGAGACACAGCGAGAGAGGGAACACAGGGAGAAGGAGGCTTCCCGCCGAGCAGGGACCCTGATGCAGGGCTCAATCCCAGGACCCTGGGATCATGACCTGAGCTGAAGGCAGACGCTTAACGACTGAGCCACCCAGGCGCCCCAACAAGAGCCCACTTCTAACATCTGTTACATAAAGGAGTATCTGTTACATAATAGGACTAGCTTCTGAAGGGCTTTTAGTAGCTGCTTTGGGAGTGTGACCTTTGATTAAACACCAGCTGATCACTCCTACAATGTAAATTCTTACTAACATTTAGATATAAAAGAATGTAAGCTCCACGAAGGCAAGGATTTTTTGTCTTTTTTGCTCACTACTGTACCTGGCCGAGTAAGTGATCAAATATTTGCTGAAATGACTTTGCTGAAGTATTTAAGGTACAGACATTATAAAAACAAAAATATATTTTAGCTACAAGCATTCTTAATACAATCACAATTATAAAAAATAGGTTTCAAACACAGTCCTATTTTAGGGAAGTTCAGGAACTTAAAAGGAAGCAAGGGGAAGCATCCAGGTAAGAGGACATGCACACTAGATTTCCAAAGTTGGATATTATATACTTCCTCTGAGATTGTATCAATCTGGCGACCATAACAGAGGCCCACTTAATCTAAAAATTAAACTGGTACTTAACAGCCAATACATTTTGGGCCTGCACTTTCTGTACAGCTCTTAACTCCTTTTTCTTCCTTTGCTTTTGAGTAATTTATTTTTAAATACTTCACCTTAATATTTCACCACATTTTTGCATCATACTAAACCCTGGCTAATCCTTAAAATGTTAAAGGGAAGACATTACCATATTTGTTAATGAATACATTAAACCTTTACGTATAAATGCTTTAATATTCAGCCCCTATAAAGCCATCAGATGTCTGAAAAGTTTTTAAACATGAATCAAAGAGTAGTTTTAAGAACTTAGCTACGAATGGGTGAGATTACCCATTTAATATAGTCCCCAAAAGGAATAGCAAGAGTATGTAAAATGGAAGAAAGTCCCTCAGAGTTTAAAATTCTGTTGCACAATCCTGTCTTCTTTGTTCAAGAAGTTTGTAGTCATTTTCAGAATCCACTCCAGGAGCCAACTTCTTAATCTAGACATCAGGCAAACAATTCTGTAAAAACCAAATATTCATCAACAATGTCTCCTTCCAGTTCTAATACTTTACCCCAATATCTGAAAATCTAGATTGTCTCAGTCACTTTCCTATTCCTAAATGATTTACATATTGTTAAGAAAGAAAAAAAGGCCTGGAGTATTCCTCCTATGGCTTCCATTTTCTACCCAGAGCTGAAACTGTCATTTTTTTTTTAAAGATTTTATTTATTTATTTCAGAGAAAGAGAGTGGGAGCAGGGGGCAGGGGGCAGGGAGAGGGAGGGGGAAAGAACTCTGCACTGAGTGTGGAGCCCAACGCGGGGCTCCATCTCACGACCCTGAGATCACGACCTGAGCCGAAACCAAGAGTCGGACGCTCAACCAACTGTGCCACCCAGGCACCCCTGAAAACTGTCATTTAAAAAAAAAAAAAATCACTATATTTGAGGTATCAGTCTCTACCAAAAAAGGAGGGGAAGTAGAGGAGAGTGAAAACTACAAATAGTTTGGCAGAGTATTTTATAGAAATATCCATCTCTTCCATTCACCCACTCAACCCTCTGCTTTTTTTTTTTTTTTTTTTT